CAACCCCATAATAAACCACACTAAAAAAAATATTAAACCCTATCATTACCTCAAACTCTCACACTAATCAACCCCCCATACCAACAACCCACACCCTATAAATTTCCAAACCAAAACCCACATCCCACCCTACAAACCACACTCCCAATATCATAAATATCCCTTACACCCACCATCACCACCACCCACACCATCCACACCCCACCACACCTCCTAAAAACATACCATATTATCACCCACACATACTCCTATAATTTTCCATCCTTCTCTCTTCCATACCAACCCCCAACCCCCCTCAACATATTTTTCCTATAAATCCCTTCCCCACCCCTAAATCTTTCAAATTCTCCTCCTCCTTAACAAACTTCCTTTATAACATTAAAATATCATCCACATACATCTCCACATAAATCATCACAATTTCCTCTTCTTCTAATATAACCCTTCTACTCTTCTTCCTAATATACCACCTCTACTCTTATACTACATTACACCATACTTCATCTTTCCTACATATAACCTCTACTTTCTTTAATTATACTACCTTTTCTAACTCTTTTTCTAATATACACTTACTCTTCTTCTAATTAACCATCTTCATCTTCCTACATATAACCTCTACTCATTCTTTACCATATAACTATATTTCTTCTAATATACCACTCTACATCATCTTCTACCTATTAACCTCTCTATATTCCTAATATCACACTTACCTCTTTCTTCTATATAATCTACTCTTCTTCTAATTAACCTTAATTCATCTTTTAATATCACACCTCTACTCTTCTTCTCAATTAACTCTACTCCTTTTCTAATATAAATTATCCATCTTTAAAATAAACTCTACCCTACCATAAACACTAAACACAATCACCAACAATAACAAACCAAAAAACAAACCAACAAAACTATAATAATTACCTTCTTATACCTATATACAACATCTTATTATACCTCAATAAAACCCTATTCCACTAATCACAAACACTTCTATATCAAATTATGTTTTATCAAAACCACTTACCTACATTATCCTGATGACCTCAATAATCAAATACTCTCCATCAATAACCTTTTCACTTCCCCCACCCCTCCCTCATATAAAACTCATTCTATACTTCCTACCATCAAATCACTAAAATTCACACCTCCTCTCCCCTCATCCAAATATTCAACAATAACTCCTTACCCACTATAACTCCATCTTCTACTCTCACTCATCCCCATTAATCTTACCTTTTCAACAACAACAAAAAAAAACAACCACTTAACCCCTTTTACCTTATACTCTTTCTTAATTATCTTTGTCTCTACCAACAGACCAACCTCTGGTCATCCTCAATTAAAAAAGTATACCCCGCCAAATAATTCATACAATTTCCTTACCCCCCTCCCCCCTCTATTCTTATTATAATCCATATACATATCTATGTGATGTCTCTAAGTTCTAATAACCCATTCCCTTAAACACTCTATATTTCTTATTCCTAGTATTTCTATTAGAAATCCCTCGATCATTACATCTATTCTTCTATATACTTCATCTCTTCATCTCAACCTTCTTCTATCCTTCTTTTTCTTCATATCTTTTCACCACAACATAACTATTACATTCCTTTTTTACCTCACCAAATTCTTTTCTATATAATCATTCTCACAATAAAAATCACTTCCCTTCACTCCAAAAACACAAAACCCTTTTCTTTCACCTAAACATACCCTACTAATCTCCTAATTTTATTACATATAATAAATAAAAACACCCCATTCCCCTCCCCCCCTCACCAATCATCCCCTCTCCAATATCCTCCCTCATCTCTCTTCTTCTCATAACACATTCCTTCTCATCCTCCCATTCTTATACTCATCATATAATTTTCACCTCCATTTCATACTCACTTCAATCTTTACTCCCTTATCTTATAATCACATTCACTTTATAATCACTTCATCTTAATACTCATTCACTTATACTTCTATTCATCTTAATATTCACCTCTCATCTTAAATACTCCTTACTTAATACCACTTCACCTATAATAAATTCACTTAATACTCACTTATCTATAATACTCCTTCATCTTTAATACTTTCAACTTATATCAACTTCATCTTTATTATACTTCAATTATACACACTTCATCATATACTACTTCATCTTATACTCCCCTCCCTTTACTCACTTTCACTTATATCACCTTCATCTTATACTCCTTATCATTAATAAACTTCATTTATACTCACCCTTCATCTTAATATCCACTTCAATCATAAATACCCACTTACCTATAATAAACCTTCATTCTTATATCACCCTTCATTTAATACTCAAATTCACTTATACTACCCTTCACATCTAATATCATCACTTATAATAACTTATCTTAATATCTTCATCTTATAATAAACTTATCTTCATACTCATTCTCTTATACTCATTTCACCTTATATCACTTCATCTCATACTCTACATTCCATTCTTAATAATCACATTACATTATACTACTTCATCTACATAATCACTCTTCACTTATATACTTCATAATAACAACTTCCATTTATAACTCACTTCATCTTATAATCCTTCAACTTATACTCCTCCACCCCCAACACTCCCCCACCCAAACCCCCCCATCAAACCTTCCACACCTACAAACTAATATACATCATAACATACCCCCTTCTCTCATTCACCAAACTACACCAATCCCCTTCATTAAATTAAATAAAAAAACACTATTCACCACCAATCATTCTAATCAAATCCACCCATTTCCCTTCTTATCTCTACTAATATCTAATATAATCCCATTTCCCTATTCCATACCATCATATTCTTAACTTTCTTCCTATTTAATATACCCCACCCTATTCCCCCTATTATTAAACTCTACCCTATATCCCATAATAAAAATTTCATACAAATCAAAACCTTCTCCCCTCCCTACTTTATCATCAAAACCCTATAACTACCCCCCCCTCAAACCTTCCTCATCAATACCTTATTCTCTCCTTCTATACATCATCACTCAACTATATCACTCACTCACCCACTCAATATAATACACTATATTGAACAAATTACTAATGTATTGTGTATTACTAAATCGATCTCACTAGTCTAACGAGAACTCAACTATATCAATATATACTTTCTTTCAATACTCACTCTCATCTCTACTAATCACTACTAATAACTCACTTACTCATTCTCACTCTCTACTACTCCTACTCACTACTATCATCAACTCAAACTCACTCATCACTCTAAATCACTCTCTCAATCCTCTAACTAACTCACTATCACTCCCTATATTCAATCACTTCTCTTCACTCACTCACTAACTCACTTCTCACTAACTAAATCACTCATCACTTACTCACTAACTAACTCACTCAACTCACTCACTCCTAACTCACTCTCACTAATCACTATACTCAACTAAATTATCACTAACTCACTCACTCAATCACTAACTCACTAACTCAATAAATCCTCATTCTTATTATATCTCTCCTCCCCCAACCCCCCACCCACCATTCAAAAACACACCACATACATACCATAACAAACACACTCTAAAAAAATACCTTACCCCCCTCAAACCCATAATCCCCCCCCTCAATACCCCCAATACCACCACACCTCCCTTACACTAACCCAATCTCCCCCTCCCAAACCCAAATACCCCCCCCCCCCCATAAACCTCTTTCATCATATAAATCTAATTCAACTACCTCACCTCATCTTAAACAATCCAAAACTAACCTTTCTCCCAACAACCATCTTAAAAAAAATAAAAACTAAACTTCCACCCCTTAACAAACACTAACAACCTTTCAACTAAAACAAATCACAACACATACCCAATCATCAATAAAAAACTACACCCATAACAACACCACCCTAATATAAACCATACAATCCATACCCCAATTTCACTTAACTCTATTAATCCCAAACTACCCCCACCTCTTCTTATTAAAACCTACCCACATCCCCATCACAAAACAACCCCCAACAAAAAAAAATAATAATATAATCTTATCAATAAATCCACCCCCAATTTTATCAATATACCCTAAATCTAACCTCTCTATATCATATACAATTTTCTTTCTAACACTTATCCACATTCACCTAAACAACCAACTTAAACCACCCCAATAAATACTACCACTCCAAAAACATCACATACCTCCCCCCCAATTAATACCATAACTAAAATCATTCCCACCCACTCCTTCATATTCATCTTCTTATTTTCCCATATCTCATTATATCTAATTTTTCTTTTACCCAACCCATCCCCCCATCCACCTTACCTCCAAAACAACCCTCTAACCATCTCTTAAATAATTCATCACCACATTCCCTCTCCTATAATACCCTATAAATAAAATATAAAACCCAAAAAAAAAACAATAAATCCATTCATAATCATATTATATTTCATACATAAAACAACAACACAAAAACTAACAAAAAAAATTCCCCAATACCTATAATTTATAAACCAAACCTCTTTGGATAAAGAGCATCAATCTGCATGAAGAGCTGACACACACACACCAACACACACAGAGAGACACACACACACCCACACACAGAGAGACACACACACACACACACAGAGAGACACACACACACAGAGAGACACACACACACCCACACACAGAGAGACACACACACACACACAGAGACACACACACACACACACACAGAGAGAGACACACACACACCCACACACACACACACACAGAGAGACACACACACACACACAGAGAGACACACACACACACACACAGAGAGACACACACACACACACAGAGAGAGACACACACACAGAGAGAGAGACACACACAATTAAATCACTTGAATTGAACACTGTAGAACCTGCTATTACAGATCAACCATCCCCATGGTAACAAGGTTAGCACTGCTTCTAACATCTTTGACCGATATATATCGTGTCCTCACCATGTCCGAGGGGACACTACCGTGTCCGAGGGGACTCTGCAGTGTGACAGAGGGGACTCTGCCGTGTGACCGAGGGGACTCTGCCGTGTGACCGAGGGGACTCTGCCGTGTGACCGAGGGGACTCTGCCGTGTGACCGAGGGGACTCTGCCGTGTGACCGAGGGGACTCTGCCGTGTGACCGAGGGGACTCTGCCGTGTGACCGAGGGGACTCTGCCGTGTGACCGAGGGGACTCTGCCGTGTGACCGAGGGGACTCTGCCGTGTGACCGAGGGGACTCTGCCGTGTGACCGAGGGGACTCTGCCGTGTGACCGAGGGGACTCTGCAGTGTGACCGAGGGGACTCTGCCGTGTGACCGAGGGGACTCTGCCGTGACCGAGGGGACTCTGCAGTGTGACCGAGGGGACTCTGCAGTGTGACCGAGGGGACTCTGCAGTGTGACCGAGGGGACTCTGCAGTGTGACCGAGGGGACTCTGCAGTGTGACCGAGGGGACTCTGCCGTGTGACCGAGGGGACTCTGCCGTGTGACCGAGGGGACTCTGCAGTGTGACCGAGGGGACTCTGCCGTGTGACCGAGGGGACTCTGCCGTGACCGAGGGGACTCTGCAGTGTGACCGAGGGGACTCTGCAGTGTGACCGAGGGGACTCTGCAGTGTGACCGAGGGGACTCTGCAGTGTGACCGAGGGGACTCTGCAGTGTGACCGAGGGGACTCTGCCGTGTGACCGAGGGGACTCTGCCGTGTGACCGAGGTCTGCCGTGTGACCGAGGGGACTCTGCCGTGACCGAGGGGACTCTGCAGTGTGACCGAGGGGACTCTGCAGTGTGACCGAGGGGACTCTGCCGTGTGACCGAGGGGACTCTGCCGTGTGACCGAGGTCTGCCGTGTGACCGAGGGGACTCTGCCATGCCCGAGGGGACTCTGCAGTGTGACCGAGGGGACTCTGCCGTGTGACCGAGGGGACTCTGCCGTGTGACCGAGGGGACTCTGCCGTGTGACCGAGGGGACTCTGCCGTGTGACCGAGGGGACTCTGCCATGCCCGAGGGGACTCTACCATGCCCGAGGGGACTCTACCATGCCCGAGGGGACTCTGCCATGTCCGAGGGGACTTTACTGTGACTCTACGATGTCCCAGACTGAGCAGGAGCAGTCGGTGACTTTGTCTTTTCAGATTGAATGAAATGAAGTGGTTTTGAGGACGTAGCACTTGGGCAGGTTTAATTTTAGCGCCTCCCTGCGGCGCCTCACCTTCACGCTCAGAGACACAGAATCAACTCTGTAATGTACACAGAGCAAGATACAGAGACACAGATTAGGACACAGACACAGAGCAGACACAGAGCAGGACACAGAGCAGGACACAGACACAGAGCAGGACACAGAGCAGGACACAGAGCAGACACAGAGCAGACACAGAGCAGGACACAGAGCAGGACACAGAGACACAGATTAGGACACAGACACAGAGCAGACACAGAGCAGGACACAGACACAGAGCAGACACAGAGCAGGACACAGACACAGAGCAGGACACAGAGCAGGACACAGAGACACAGATTAGGACACAGACACAGAGCAGACACAGAGCAGGACACAGACACAGAGCAGGACACAGAGCAGGACACAGAGCAGGACACAGGGCAGACACAGAGCAGGACAGAGCAGGACACAGAGCAGGACACAGAGCAGACACAGAGCAGGACACAGAGCAGGACACAGAGCAGACACAGAGCAGGACACAGAGCAGGACACAGAGCAGGACACAGAGCACACACAGAGCACACACAGAGCAGGACACAGAGCAGGACACAGACACAGAGCAGACACAGAGCAGGACACAGAGCAGACACAGAGCAGGACACAGAGCAGACACAGAGCAGACACAGAGCAGACACAGAGCAGGACACAGAGCAGGACACAGAGCAGGACACAGAGCAGGACACAGAGCAGGACACAGAGCAGGACACAGAGCAGACACAGACACAGGGCAGACACAGAGCAGGACACAGAGCAGGACACAGAGCAGGACACAGACACAGAGCAGACACAGAGCAGGACAGAGAGCAGGACACAGAGCAGACACAGAGCAGACACAGAGCAGACACAGAGCAGGACACAGAGCAGGACACAGAGCAGACACAGAGCAGGACACAGACACAGAGCAGACACAGAGCAGGACACAGAGCATGACACAGAGCAGACACAGAGCAGGACAGAGAGCAGGACACAGAGCAGGACACAGACACAGAGCAGACACAGAGCAGGACACAGAGCAGGACAGAGAGCAGGACACAGAGCAGACACAGAGCAGACACAGAGCAGGACACAGAGCAGGACACAGAGCAGGACACAGAGCAGGACACAGAGCAGACACAGAGCAGGCACAGAGCAGGACACAGAGCAGGACACAGAGCAGGACACAGAGCAGACACAGAGCAGGACACAGAGCAGGACACAGAGCAGGACACAGAGCAGGACACAGAGCAGACACAGAGCAGGCACAGAGCAGGCACAGAGCAGGACACAGAGCAGGACACAGAGCAGGACACAGAGCAGACACAAAGTCTCTGACAGACACGACGATAAAGTCTCTGAAAGACACGACGATAAAGTCTCTGACAGACACGACGATAAAGTCTCTGACAGACACGACGATAAAGTCTCTGACAGACACGACAATAAAGTCTCTGACAGACACGACAATAAAGTCTCTGAAAGACACGACGATAAAGTCTCTGAAAGACACGACGATAAAGTCTCTGACAGACACGACGATAAAGTCTCTGAAAGACACGACGATAAAGTCTCTGACAGACACGACGATAAAGTCTCTGACAGACACGACGATAAAGTCTCTGACAGACACGACAATAAAGTCTCTGACAGACACGACAATAAAGTCTCTGAAAGACACGACGATAAAGTCTCTGACGGACACGACGATAAAGTCTCTGACGGACACGACGATAAAGTCTCTGACGGACACGACGATAAAGTCTCTGACGGACACGACAATAAAGTCTCTGACTGACACGACAATAAAGTCTCTGAAAGACACGACGATAAAGTCTCTGACGGACACGACGATAAAGTCTCTGACGGACACGACGATAAAGTCTCTGACGGACACGACGATAAAGTCTCTGACGGACACGACGATAAAGTCTCTGACAGACACGACGATAAAGTCTCTGACGGACACAACGATAAAGTCTCTGACGGACACGACGATAAAGTCTCTGACAGACACGACGATAAAGTCTCTGAAAGACACGACGATAAAGTCTCTGACGGACACGACGATAAAGTCTCTGACGGACACGACGATAAAGTCTCTGACTGACACGACGATAAAGTCTCTGACGGACACGACGATAAAGTCTCTGACTGACACGACAATAAAGTCTCTGAAAGACACGACGATAAAGTCTCTGACGGACACGACGATAAAGTCTCTGACGGACACGACGATAAAGTCTCTGACGGACACGACGATAAAGTCTCTGACGGACACGACGATAAAGTCTCTGACGGACACGACAATAAAGTCTCTGACGGACACAACGATAAAGTCTCTGACTGACACGACGATAAAGTCTCTGACAGACACGACGATAAAGTCTCTGACGGACACGACGATAAAGTCTCTGACAGACACGACGATAAAGTCTCTGACAGACACGACGATAAAGTCTCTGACGGACACAACGATAAAGTCTCTGACGGACACGACGATAAAGTCTCTGACAGACACGACGATAAAGTCTCTGAAAGACACGACGATAAAGTCTCTGACGGACACGACGATAAAGTCTCTGACGGACACGACGATAAAGTCTCTGACACGACGATAAAGTCTCTGACGGACACGACGATAAAGTCTCTGACTGACACGACAATAAAGTCTCTGAAAGACACGACGATAAAGTCTCTGACGGACACGACGATAAAGTCTCTGACGGACACGACGATAAAGTCTCTGACGGACACGACGATAAAGTCTCTGACGGACACGACGATAAAGTCTCTGACAGACACGACAATAAAGTCTCTGACGGACACGACGATAAAGTCTCTGACGGACACGACGATAAAGTCTCTGACGGACACGACGATAAAGTCTCTGACAGACACGACGATAAAGTCTCTGAAAGACACGACGATAAAGTCTCTGAAAGACACGACGATAAAGTCTCTGACGGACACGACGATAAAGTCTCTGACGGACACGACGATAAAGTCTCTGACAGACATAACGATAAAGTCTCTGAAAGACACGACAATAAAGTCTCTGACAGACACAACAATAAAGTCTCTGACTGACACGACGATAAAGTCTCTGACTGACACGACGATAAAGTCTCTGACAGACACGACGATAAAGTCTCTGACAGACACGACGATAAAGTCTCGGACAGACATAACAATAAAGTCTCTGAAAGACACGACGATAAAGTCTCTGAAAGACACGACGATAAAGTCTCTGACAGACACAATGATAAAGTCTCTGACAGACACGACGATAAAGTCTCTGACGGTTGAATATAATGTATAAATATAATCTGTAATATTGTCCATATCCTTGGACTTTGCACATGTTCAGTGTTGTGCTAAAGTGCAGTTTGTGTTTATCATTGTTGTTTGACTTTCTGATCTGCTGTTGGTGAATCGACAACTTTCTGAACTCCTCTGAAATGAAGACTGTTGTAATCTAAGGCTACACAAAAATAGAATCATTGAGTTGAATCTTCACCCAAAGATCTGCAAAAGCATTGAATAACCAGACAGAAGGATCCTCTCAGACCTGTGAAGCTAAGCAGGGCAGGGCCTGGTTAGTGCTGTGATGGGAGACCTCAGGGAACAGCAGGTGCCACAGTGGGGCGGCTGTGGTTGTAAAGTGCCAAACTGTGGTTGTGTCCTTAGGCAAGACACCTCCCTCACATCAGAATGAGTCTGGTGTGAGTGAACTCCTTCAGGGTGTCATTGGTTAAACTGTTCTCCTCCAGCTGATCTCATTGGCCGCAGGTTCGCTAAGGGGAGGGATTTATGGTGCATAATAGTACAGTGTTCTATGGTCAGAACTTAACAGTCTTTTAACAATGGTATTCTGACTTCAGTGTGACTCATTCTAAAAGGATTCAAACAAAGTGAAAGTAGATTTCCATAAAAGAAAGCTCCAATTTCTCTTTTTCAGTTTAGTCCAAGAGGCGTCGACGAGAAACAGAAACACGTCTAAAACAGGAGGAAGTGGAAAGTGTCAAAGCAAAAGGACAAAGTGCTCTTCACACACTCTGAGCTCCGGCCAATCAGAGCGCAGCAATGTCCTACTGTTCTGGAAGACACACATCCTGCAGTGATGTAGGGGGGGAGAGAGGGGGTGAGCTGGGGGAGAGAGGGTGTGAGGTGGGGGAGAGAGGAGGCTGGGGGTGGGGGAGAGAGGAGGGTTAGGTGGGGGAGAGAGGAGGGTGAGGTGGGGGAGAGAGGAGGGTTAGGTGGGGGAGAGAGGAGGGGTGAGGTGGGGGAGAGAGGGTGTGAGGTGGGGGAGAGAGGAGGCTGGGGGTGGGGGAGAGAGGAGGGTTAGGTGGGGGAGAGAGGAGGGTGAGGTGGGGGAGAGAGGAGGGTTAGGTGGGGGAGAGAGGAGGGTGAGGTGGGGGAGAGAGGAGGGTGAGGTGGGGGAGAGAGGAGGGGGAGGAGGAGGGTGGGGGAGAGAGGAGGGGGAGGAGGAGGGTGGGGGAGGGAGGAGGTGCTGTTCTCACTGCCGACTCTGACACTTGGTTCCAGCTGGACGCTGCGTTCGCTGCAGATGTCGCTTCATTATCCAGAGGTTTTCACACTCACTAAAGACAGAGCTCAAACTTTACAGACGCACAACTCTCTGGAGGCTCAGAACACGGCGTCAAAACAGTCAAGCTTATTTAGTATAAGTATAGACTTTATTTGTCACTATGCACATGCATAATGAAATTAAAAGCAACTCCACCAGTGCAGGAATGTACACACAGAATAAGTTAATACACAGACACAGAAATTATTAGAGACATTAAAGTGCACAGTTGCATCTATTGCTCAGGAGTTATAAATATAATATAAAAGATATAAAATTCAGTGCATATGAGAATTCAATAGTGTCACAGCTTTTGGAAAAAAGCTGTTTTTCAGTCTATTTGTCCTTGCTCTGATGCACCTGTACCGCCTCCCTGAGGGTAACAGGTCAAACAGAGAGATTCCAGGGTGAGAGCTGTCTTTAATGATGTTCTCTGCTCTGCTGAGGCAGCGGCTGGTGTAAATGTCCATCAGAGAAGGCAGAGAGCAGCCAATGATCTTCTGTGCTGTCCTCACCACTCTCTGCAGCCTCTCTCTGTCAGCCACAGTGCAGCTTCCGTACCACACTGTGATACAGTAAGTCATCAGGCTCTCGATGGCCGAGCGATAGAAGGTCAGCAGCAGACTAGAGTCTAAATTGTACTTCCCGAGTACCCTCAGAAAGTGTAGCCGCTGCTGAGATTTTTTTATTATTGCTGAGATGTTTTCAGACCAGGAAATATCAGCGGTGATGAGGACCCCGAGAAACTTAAAGCTATGGACCCTCTCCACACACTCACCGTTGATGTAAAGAGGGGCCAAGTCTGTGTTGTTCTTCCTGAAGTTAACAATGATCTCTTTGGTTTTCTTAGTGTTAAGAGATAAATTGTTCTCTGCACACCAAGCTGTCAACTTCAGGACCTCCTCCCTGTAGGCTGCCTCATCACCCTTTGAAATGAGACCAACCACTGTGGTATCGTCAGCAAATTTAACGATAAGGTTGTTGCTGTGGGTTGGCCTACAGTCATGGGTATAGAGGCAGTACAGGAGTGGGCTCAACACACAGCCCTGGGGTGAGCCTGTGCTCAGTGTTCGGGTGGAGGAGAGGAGACGAGGACCAAGACGCACAGTCTGAGGCCTGTTGATCAAAAAATTTTTAATCCAGGCACATGTGATGGATGGAAGACCTAGCGTGCTCAGTTTAGTGGTGAGGATGTCCGGAATGATTGTATTGAACGCCGAGCTGTAGTCCACAAACAGCATGCGGATGTAACTGTGCTGCTGCTCTAGATGACTCAGTGCAGAGTGGAGAGCTACAGCGATGGCGTCCTCTGTTGACCTGTTCGCCCGATACGCGAACTGGAAAGGGTCGAAATTGACTGGGAGAAGGTCTCTGATGTACTGCAAGACCAGCCTTTCAAAGCACTTCATGATTACCGGAGTGAGAGCCACAGGGCGGTAGTCATTAAGGCTAGTGATGGGAGACTTCTTTGGTATAGGAATGATTGTGGCTGATTTCAGGCAGGAGGGGATGGACGCTTGAGCCAGAGAGAGATTGAAGAGCTTTGTGAAGATGGAGGCGAGCTGGAAAGCACATGCTTTGAGCACCTTGCCCGGTACTCCGTCAGGGCCCGTGGCCTTCCTGGGGTTCACGGATAGAAGCACCCTTCTAACCTCGTGCTCCTGAACAGTGAAAGGGGAAGTGTCAGAGCGGTGTAAAGGTGGGAGCAGGGCTGGAGTAACACAGCGACCCAATGGTGGTGAGTTCAGGCCAGGAGCAGATGGGGGGTTATCAAAACGAGCAAAGAAGCAATTAAGCTCCTCTGCTAGTGTCGCGCTCAGTCCTGTAGCTGTAGCACTGCAGCCTCTATAGTTGGTAATGTTTTGGATGCTCCTCCACATTTCTCTATGGTTGTTGCTGGACATGTGGGACTCTGTTCTCCTCTTATGATCTTTCTTAGCTCTTTTGATTCCCTTCTCCAGGTCAGCTCGAGCGGCACTGTATAGCGCTCTGTCGCCAGACCTGAAGGCAGCATCACGAGCTTGGAGAAGTGTGCGGACCTGTTTAGACATCCAGGGTTTCTGGTTTGGAAAAACCCGGATGGTTTTGTTCACTGTCACATTGCCCATGCAGAACTTGATATAGTCCAGCACTGCCTCTGTGAACATTTCCAGGTCTTGATGTTCAAATAGGTCCCAGTTCGTCTGTTCAAAACAATCCTGTAATTTGGAGAATGCGTCATCGGGCCAGATTGTGACAGACTTTATGGCAGGTCTGGCGCTGCGTCGTAGAGGTGTGTAGGCCGGAAAGAGCAGGAGGGACAGATGATCTGATTGCCCCAAGTGTGGGAGGGGAATAGCTCTGTATGCATGCTTAATGTTTGTATAGACATGATCCAAGGTGTTCTCCCCTCTAGTGGGACACTTTACATGTTGGTAAAATTCTGGGAGTACAGACTTCAAATTGGCTCTGTTAAAGTCTCCTGCGATCACGTGGACACCATCCGGGTGAGCGCGCTGTTGCTCACTCACAGTGTTCAGCAGGAGAGAGAGTGCTTTGTTTACATTGCCATCAGGTGGAATATACACGGCAATTAAAATCACAACTGTAAACTCTCTTGGTAGAAAATAAGGCCGACATTTAACAGACATGTACTCGAGATCTGGGGAGCAGTGATTGTCTATAATTGTCCCGTTTGTATACATTTGTATAGCGCCTTTCACATCTGTCGTTATCCAGTTCACAACACTCACAATCGTGTGTATTGTGAGTATCGTGTGTATCGTGTGTATCGTGTGTATTGTGCGTATCGTGTGTATTGTGAGTATCGTGTGTATCGTGTGTATCGTGTGTATTGTGAGTATCGTGTGTATCGTGTGTATTGTGCGTATCGTGCGTATCGTGTCTATTGTGTGTATCGTGTGTATCGTGTGTATTGTGTGTATCGTGTCTATTGTGTGTATCGTGTGTATCGTGTGTATCGTGTGTATTGTGTGTATCGTGCGTATCGTGTGTATCGTGCGTATAGTGCGTATCGTGTGTATCGTGTGTATCGTGTGTATCGTGCGTATCGTGCGTATCGTGCGTATCGTGCGTATCGTGCGTATCGTGAGTATCGTGCGTATTGTGCGTATCGTGCGTATCGTGCGTATTGTGCGTATCGCGAGTATCGTGCGTATCGTGCGTATCGTGCGTATCGTGTGTATCGTGTGTATCGTGTGTATCGTGCGTATCGTGCGTATCGTGAGTATCGTGCGTATTGTGCGTATCGTGCGTATTGTGCGTATCGTGCGTATCGCGAGTATCGTGTGTATCGTGCGTATCGTGCGTATCGTGAGTATCGTGCGTATCGTGCGCATCGTGCGTATCGCGAGTATCGTGCGTATCGTGCGTATCGTGCGTATCGTGCGTATCGTGCGTATCGTGTGTATCGTGCGTATCGTGCGTATCGCGTGTATCGTGCGTATCGTGCGTATCGTGAGTATCGTGCGTATCGTGAGTATCGTGCGTATCGTGCGTATCACGAGTATCGTGTGTATCGTGCGTATCGTGCGTATCGTGCGTATCGTGCGTATTGTGAGTATCGTGCGTATCGTGCGTATCGTGCGTATCGTGCGTATCGTGCGTATTGTGTGTATCGTGTGTATTGTGTGTATCGTGTCTATTGTGTGTATTGTGTGTGCCGTGTGTATAGTGTGTATCGTGTGTATCGTGTCTATTGTGTGTATAGTGTGTATCGTGTCTATTGTGTGTATCGTGCGTATCGTGTCTATTGTGTGTATTGTGTCTATTGTGTGTATTGTGTGTATTGTGTGTGCGTGGAGACACCGCAGTGATCTGAACCTCAATATAAAAATGATATAATAAATGATTACAGAGAGAAGAGGGAGAGACGCAAACGCCACGACCTGCTCTGCATCCTCCCCCCACCCCCCCTCCTCCTCCCCCCATCCTCCCTCCTCCCCCCCCATCCTCACCCCTCCTCCCTCCCTCCCTCCTCCCTCCTCCCTCCTCCCTCCCTCCTCCTCCCCCCTCCCCCCTCCCTCCCCCTCCTCCCCCCCCTCCTTTTTATTACATGTCTCATTTATTGCGTTTGTAAATGGAGTTTTTGCCACAAAGGTTATTGAAATAAGGAGGATCCTGGAGGAGAAGGAGAGAGGAAGTTCATTGGGTTTCTCTCGGGGCTGGGACCGGTTTCCATGGCGAGCTCCCGGGTCCGGAACTTTCCACGCCACGAGCAGAGTTTACCCGCGGTTTTAAGGGATTTACTTTGGGTCATATATTCAGATTCACCATATTATATTTATATATTAGTTCTTTACCGACTCGTATGGAGCGAGAGCAGAGATATGAGAAATACTTTCATTTCATAACGTTTCCTCTTTCTCCACAATATTAGCTTAGATCCAAGTTGTTATTAGTGTTGCTAGCTCTGACGTTAGCGCTAGATCTGAGGTTAGCATCAGGTTAGCATCAGTTCTGAGGTTAGCATCAGGTTAGCATCAGTTCTGAGGTTAGCATCAGGTTAGCATCAGTTCTGAGGTTAGCATCAGGTTAGCATCAGTTCTGAGGTTAGCATCAGTTCTGAGGTTAGCATCAGGTTAGCATCAGGTTAGCATCAGGTTAGCATCAGTTCTGAGGTTAGCATCAGTTCTGAGGTTAGCATCAGGTTAGCATCAGTTCTGAGGTTAGCATCAGGTTAGCATCAGTTCTGAGGTTAGCATCAGGTTAGCATCAGGTTAGCATCAGTTCTGAGGTTAGCATCAGGTTAGCATCAGTGTGTGATTATAATGTATGTAAATAATATACTAATGTGAACATGTTCTGTCTGTGATTCATGCTCCCCACAAATAATAATATTATACATTCATTGTTCTGTGAATGTGTGTGTGTGTGTCATTGTCCTGTGTGTGTCATTGTTCTCTGTGTGTAGCTCTTTGTGTAGATGTGTATATATGTGTGTACCTCTTCGGGCCTCCCCAGGGCGGGGGTCCCGGTCAGCAGGACCGCCCTCTTGGACCTCTGGATCATCGGGACCAGGATCTTGGACCGGGCTGAGGTCCTGGACTTGAGATAATGAGCCTCGTCCACCAGGATGACTGAGAACCTCTGAGAGGACAGGGCCTGGACCAGGGTCTGGGCGTCTGCGGTGAGGAGGCCGTACCCCAACAGCGTCACCTTACTGCGGCCGATGCCCCTGGGGAGGGACACACTGTCACCTTACTGCGGCCGATGCCCCTGGGGAGGGACACAGCGTCACCTTACTGCGGCCGATGCCCCTGGGGAGGGACACACTGTCACCTTACTGCGGCCGATGCCCCTGGGGAGGGACACATCGTCACCTTACTGCGGCCGATGCCCCTGGGGAGGGACACACAGTCACCTTACTGCGGCCGATGCCCCTGGGGAGGGACACAGCGTCACCTTACTGCGGCCGATGCCCCTGGGGAGGGACACACTGTCACCTTACTGCGGCCGATGCCCCTGGGGAGGGACACAGCGTCACCTTACTGCGGCCGATACCCCTGGGGAGGGACACACCGTCACCTTACTGCGGCCGATACCCCTGGGGAGGGACACACCGTCACCTTACTGCGGCCGATGCCCCTGGGGAGGGACACACCGTCACCTACTGATGCCCCTGGGGAGGGACACAGCGTCACCTTACTGCGGCCGATGCCCTGGGGAGGGACACACTGTCACCTGACTGCGGCCGATGCCCCTGGGGAGGGACACACCGTCACCTTACTGCGGCCGATACCCCTGGGGAGGGACACACCGTCACCTTACTGCGGCCGATTGCCCCTGGGGAGGGACACAGCGTCACCTTACTGATGCCCCTGGGGAGGGACACAGCGTCACCTTACTGCGGCCGATTGCCCCTGGGGAGGGACACACTGTCACCTTACTGCGGCCGATGCCCCTGGGGAGGGACACACTGTCACCTTACTGCGGCCGATGCCCCTGGGGAGGGACACAGCGTCACCTTACTGCGGCCGATACCCCTGGGGAGGGACACACCGTCACCTTACTGCGGCCGATGCCCCTGGGGAGGGACACAGCGTCACCTTACTGCGGGCCGATGCCCCTGGGGAGGGACACAGCGTCACCTTACTGCGGCCGATGCCCCTGGGGAGGGACACACAGCGTCACCTTACTGCGGCCGATCACCCACCTTACTGCGGCCGATGCCCCTGGGGAGGGACACACCGTCACCTTACTGCGGCCGATACCCCTGGGGAGGGACACACCGTCACCTTACTGCGGCTGATACCCCTGGGAGGGACACACCGTCACCTTACTGCGGCCGATGCCCCTGGGGAGGGACACACCGTCACCTTACTGCGGCCGATACCCCTGGGGGAGGGACACAGCGTCACCTTACTGCGGCCGATGCCCCTGGGGAGGGACACACCGTCACCTTACTGCGGCCGATACCCCTGGGGAGGGACACAGCGTCACCTTACTGCGGCCGATGCCCCTGGGGAGGGACACAGCGTCACCTTACTGCGGCCGATGCCCCTGGGGAGGGACACAGCGTCACCTTACTGCGGCCGATACCCCTGGGGAGGGACACAGCGTCACCTTACTGCGGATGCCCTGATGCCCCTGGGGAGGGACACAGCGTCACCTTACTGCGGCCGATGCCCCTGGGGAGGGACACAGCGTCACCTACTGATGCCCCTGGGGAGGGACACAGCCGTCACCTTACTGCGGCCGATGCCCCTGGGGAGGGACACAGCGTCACGTCACCTTACTGATGCCCCTGGGGAGGGACACACCGTCACCTTACTGCGGCCGAATGATGCCCCTGGGGAGGGACACAGCGTCACCTTACTGATGCCCATCTGGGGAGGGACACACCGTCACCTTACTGCGGCCGATGCCCCTGGGAGGGACACAGCTGTCACCTTACTGCGGCCGATGCCCCTGGGGAGAGGGACACAGCGTCACCTTACTGCGGCCGATGCCCCTGGGGAGGGACACACAGCGTCACCTTACTGCGGCCGATGCCCCTGGGGAGGGACACAGCTGTCACCTTACTGCGGCCGATGCCCCTGGGGAGGGACACACTGTCACCTTACTGCGGCCGATGCCCCTGGGGAGGGACACAGCGTCACCTTACTGCGGCCGATGCCCCTGGGGAGGGACACAGCGTCACCTTACTGCGGCGACCTGGGGAGGGACGGCCTTACTTGATGCCCCTGGGGAGGGACACAGCGTCACCTTACTGCGGCCGATGCCCCTGGGGAGGGACACAGCGTCACCTTACTGCGGCCGATGCCCCTGGGGAGGGACACACGTCACCTTACTGCGGCCGATGCCCCCTGGGGAGGGACACACTGTCACCTTACTGCGGCCGATACCCCTGGGGAGGGACACACTGTCACCTTACTGCGGCCGATACCCCTGGGGAGGGACACAGCGTCACCTTACTGCGGCCGATACCCCTGGGGAGGGACACACTGTCACCTTACTGCGGCCGATGCCCCTGGGGAGGGACACAGCGTCACCTTACTGCGGCCGATGCCCCTGGGGAGGGACACAGCGTCACCTTACTGCGGCCGATGCCCCTGGGGAGGGACACAGCGTCACCTTACTGCGGCCGATACCCCTGGGGAGGGACACACTGTCACCTTACTGCGGCCGATTGCCCCTGGGGAGGGACACACGTCACCTTACTGCGGCCGATGCCCCTGGGGAGGGACACAGCGTCACCTTACTGCGGCCGATGCCCCTGGGGAGGGACACACGTCACCTTACTGCGGCCGATACCCTGGGGAGGGACACACTGTCACCTTACTGCGGCCGATACCCCTGGGGAGGGACACACTGTCACCTTACTGCGGCCGATACCCCTGGGGAGGGACACACCGTCACCTTACTGCGGCCGATTACCCCTGGGGAGGGACACACTGTCACCTTACTGCGGCCGATACCCCTGGGGAGGGACACACTGTCACCTTACTGCGGCCGATACCCCTGGGGAGGGACACACTGTCACCTTACTGCGGGGGGGCCGATACCCCTGGGGAGGGACACACTGTCACCTTACTGCGGCCGATACCCCTGGGGAGGGACACACGTCACCTTACTGCGGCCGATACCCCTGGGGAGGGACACACTGTCACCTTACTGCGGCCGATACCCCTGGGGAGGGACACACCGTCACCTTACTGCGGCCGATACCCCTGGGGAGGGACACACTGTCACCTTACTGCGGCCGATACCCCTGGGGAGGGACACACTGTCACCTTACTGCGGCCGATACCCCTGGGGAGGGACACAGCGTCACCTTACTGCGGCCGATACCCCTGGGGAGGGACACACTGTCACCTTACTGATACCCCTGGGGAGGGACACACTGTCACCTTACTGATTACCCTGGGGAGGGACACAGCTGTCACCTTACTGCGGCCGATACCCCTGGGGAGGGACACAGCTGTCACCTTACTGATACCCCTGGGGAGGGACACACAGTCACCTTACTGCGGCCGATACCCCTGGGGAGGGACACACCGTCACCTTACTGATACCCCTGGGGAGGGACACACCGTCACCTTACTGATACCCCTGGGGAGGGACACAGCGTCACCTTACTGATACCCCTGGGGAGGGACACACCGTCACCTTACTGATACCCTGGGGAGGGACACACCGTCACCTTACTGATACCCCTGGGGAGGGACACACCATCACCTTACTGATACCCCTGGGGAGGGACACACCGTCACCTTACTGATACCCCTGGGGAGGGACACACCATCACCTTACTGATACCCCTGGGGAGGGACACACCATCACCTTACTGATACCCCTGGGGAGGGACACACCGTCACCTTACTGATACCCCTGGGGAGGGACACACCATCACCTTACTGATACACTGGGGAGGGACACAGCGTCACCTTACTGATACCCCTGGGGAGGGACACAGCGTCACCTTACTGATACCCCTGGGGAGGGACACACCGTCACCTTACTGATACCCCTGGGGAGGGACACACCGTCACCTTACTGATACCCCTGGGGAGGGACACAGCGTCACCTTACTGATACCCCTGGGGAGGGACACACTGTCACCTTACTGATACCCCTGGGGAGGGACACAGAGACGTGACCTTACTACGCGGACCGAGTACCCTGGGGAGGGACACAGCGTCCACCTTACTGATTACCCCTGGGGAGGGACACACTGTCACCTTACTGATACCCCCTGGGGAGGGACACACTGTCACCTTACTGATACCCCTGGGGTAGGGACACACTGTCACCTTACTGATACCCCTGGGGAGGGACACACCATCACCTACTGATACCCCTGGGGAGGGACACACCGTCACCCTTACTTGCGGCCGATACCCCCCTGGGGGTGGACACTCAGCGGTCACCTTACTGCGGCCGATACCCCTGGGGTAGGGACACTGTCACACCTTACATGATACCCCGGGGGAGGGACACACTGTCACCTTACTGATACCCCTGGGAGGGACACACCGTCACCTCCAACCGATTACCGATACCCCTGGGGAGGGACACACTGTCACCCTTACTGATACCCCTGGGGTAGGGACACACTGTCCACCTTACTGATACCCCTGGGGAGGGACACACTGTCACCGTACCTGATTACCCAGGGGGAGGGACACACTGCTGCAGGTCTCATATCGAGAAGACCTGCAGCGCGCACACACACTTCCTCCTTTGCTCCTCCCCTCCTCCCCCTAGGTCTATCTCCCCCTCCTCTTCCCTCCCAGGCCTTTCTCCTCCTCCTCCTCCTCCTCCTCCTCGGCCTCGTGCTCCTCCTCTCCCTCCCTCCTCCTCCTCCTCCTCCTCTCCCCCTCCACTCCCCACCTCCTCTCTCCTCTCCTTCTCCTCCTCCTCCTCCTCTCCCCCTCCTCCTCCTCCTCTCTCCCCTCCTCCTCCATCCTCTCCACCTCCTCATCACTCCTCCTCCTCCTCCTCCCCCTCCTCCCCCTCCCCCCTCCTCCTGCTCTCGGCCTCTCCTCCTCTCCACCTCCTCCTCCTCCCTCCTCCCCCTCCTCCTCCTCCTCCTCCTCTCCCCCTCCTCCTCCTCCTCTCCATCCTCCTCCTCCTCCCCCTCCTCCTCCCTCCTCTCCCCTCCTCCTCCTCCTCCTTCCTTCCCTCCTCCTCCTCCCCCCCTCCTCCTCCTCTACCCTCCTCCTCCTCCTCCTCCTCTCCCTCCTCCTCCTCCTTCCTCCTCCTCCTCCTCCTCCTCCTCCTCTCCCTCCTCCCTCCTCTCCCTCCTCCTCCTCCTCCCCCCTCTGTCAGAAGCAGTTCATGGTGACGGACAGGCCTGTGGCTCGTGACAAAGCGTCTCAAAGTGCCGTGTGCGTCTCCTCGTGTCTCTGAGGAGCAGATCCTCGGAGTGAAAACTGCTGGTGAGGAAAAGTCGCTCGTCGCCGCGTTATTGATTTAGTTTGAGGCAAAAAATCTGCTTTGTCGAAAAATGTGTTGAACGACAAAGATTTCAGGACTATCCACTAGTGAGGAGGTGCAGAGGAGGAGGCACAGACGAGGTCCAGAGGAGGAGCAAAGGAGGAACAGAAGGGGCAGAGGAGGAGGCACAGACGAGGTCCAGAGGAGGAGCAAAGGAGGAACAGGAGGTGCAGAGGAGGAGGCACAGACGAGGTACAGAGGAGGAGCAAATGAGGAACAGGAGGTGCAGAGGAGGAGGCACAGACGAGGCACAGAGGAGGAGCAAAGGAGGAACAGGAGGGGCAGAGGAGGAGGCGCAGACGAGGCACAGAGGAGGAGCAAAGGAGGAACAGGAGGGGCAGAGGAGGAGGCACAGACGAGGCACAGAGGAGGAGCAAAGGAGGAACAGGAGGGGCAGAGGAGGAGGCACAGACGAGGTACAGAGGAGGAGCAAAGGAGGAACAGGAGGGGCAGAGGAGGAGGCACAGACGAGGCACAGAGGAGGAGCAAAGGAGGAACAGGAGGGGCAGAGGAGGAGGCGCAGACGAGGCACAGAGGAGGAGCAAAGGAGGAACAGGAGGTGCAGAGGAGGAGGCACCGACGAGGTCCAGAGGAGGAGCAAAGGAGGAACAGGAGGGGCAGAGGAGGAGGCGCAGAGGAGGGTCAGAGGAGGAGCAAAGGAGGAACAGGAGGTGCAGAGGAGGAGGCACCGACGAGGTCCAGAGGAGGACAAAGGAGGAACAGGAGGGGCAGAGGAGGAGGCGCAGAGGAGGAGCAAAGGAGGAACAAGAGGGGCAGAGGAGGAGGCGCAGAGGAGGGGCAGAGGAGGAGCAAAGGAGGAACAAGAGGGGCAGATGAGGAGGCGCAGAGGAGGAGGCGCAGAGGAGGAGGCGCAGAGGAGGAGGCGCAGAGGAGGCACCGAGGGAGCACAGAGGTGCAGAGGAGGAAGCACAGAGGGAGTACAGAGGTGTAGAGGAGGAAGCACAGAGGGAGTACAGAGGTGTAGAGGAGGCGCAGAAGAGGAGCAGAGGAGGTCCAGAGGAGGAGCAAAGAAGGAGCAGAGGAGGAGCAGAGGAGGTCCAGAGGAGGAGCAAAAGAGGAGCAGAGGACGAACAGAGGAGGCTCAGAGGAAGACAGGCGGGGGTACAGGAGCTAAAATGGAGAAGCATGGTACGTGTTCTTTAAGGGTACAGGAGCTAAAATGGAGAAGCATGGTACGTGTTCTTTAAGGGTACAGGAGCTAAAATGGCGGCTGTAGCTTCCTCTGCGTCAGCAAATGTAAACAGATGTTAAGTATCGCTTAAACTCAAATTACGGCAGATGTTTGCGCCGCGGCCCCAGACGTCATTAACACACACACACACACACACACACACACACACACCCCACCCCTCCCCCCCCCCCAGGGTATGACTGTTACATGGTATGGCTCTTACATGGTATGACTGTTACATGGTATGGCTCTTACATGGTATGGCTCTTACATGGTATGGCTCTTACATGGTGTGGCTCTTACATGGTGTGGCTCTTACATGGTATGGCTCTTACATGGTATGGCTCTTACATGGTATGGCTCTTACATGGTATGGCTCTTACATGGTATGGCTCTTACATGGTATGGCTCTTGGTCTCCACCAGGTGGATGTCTCCGGGCTGCAGCTCTGGGATCCATCGCTCCAACTCCTCGATCCACGGATACTTCAGCGACGATGGAACCACGACCAGAAGCGGCCACTCCTCTCTGTACGAGCAGGCGACCGCTATGGCCTGCACGGTCTTACCCAGCCCCATCTGAGAGGACCACAACGAGACCAGAGGATCAGGAGAGAACATCTACCCAGCCCCATCTGAGAGGACCACAAGGAGACCAGAGGATCAGGAGAGAACATCTACCCAGCCCCATCTGAGAGGACCACAATGAGACCAGAGGATCAGGAGAGAACATCTACCCAGCCCCATCTGAGAGGACCACAACGAGACCAGAGGATCAGGAGAGAACATCTACCCAGCCCCATCTGAGAGGACCACAACGAGACCAGAGGATCAGGAGAGAACATCTACCCAGCCCCATCTGAGAGGACCACAACGAGACCAGAGGATCAGGAGAGAACATCTACCCAGCCCCATCTGAGAGGACCACAACGAGACCAGAGGATCAGGAGAGAAACATCTACCCAGCCCCATCTGAGAGGACCACAACGAGACCAGAGGATCAGGAGAGAACATCTACCCAGGCCCATCTGAGAGGACCACAACGAGACCAGAGGATCAGGAGAGAACATCTACCCAGCCCCATCTGAGAGGACCACAACGAGACCAGAGGATCAGGAGAGAACATCTACCCAGGCCCATCTGAGAGGACCACAACGAGACCAGAGGATCAGGAGAGAACATCTACCCAGCCCATCTGAGAGGACCACAACGAGACCAGAGGATCAGGAGAGAACATCTACCCAGGTCCATCTGAGAGGACCACAACGAGACCAGAGGATCAGGAGAGAACATCTACCCAGGCCCATCTGAGAGGACCACAACGAGACCAGAGGATCAGGAGAGAACATCTACCCAGGCCCATCTGAGAGGACCACAACGAGACCAGAGGATCAGGAGAGAACATCTACCCAGCCCCATCTGAGAGGACCACAACGAGACCAGAGGATCAGGAGAGAACATCTACCCAGCCCCATCTGAGAGGACCACAACGAGACCAGAGGATCAGAGAGAACATCTACCCAGCCCCATCTGAGAGGACCACAACGAGACCAGAGGATCAGGAGAGAACATCTACCCAGCCCCATCTGAGAGGACCACAACGAGACCAGAGGATCAGGAGAGAACATCTACCCAGCCCCATCTGAGAGGACCACAACGAGACCAGAGGATCAGAGAACATCTACCCAGGCCCCATCTGAGAGGACCACAACGAGACCAGAGGATCAGAGAGAACATCTACCCAGCCCCATCTGAGAGGACCACAACGAGACCAGAGGATCAGGAGAGAACATCTACCCAGCCCCATCTGAGAGGACCACAACGAGACCAGAGGATTCAGGAGAGAACATTACCCAGCCCCATCTGAGAGGACCACAACGAGACCAGAGGATCAGGAGAGAACATCTACCCAGCCCCATCTGAGAGGACCACAACGAGACCAGAGGATCAGGAGAGAACATCTACCCAGCCCCATCTGAGAGGACCACAACGAGACAGAGGATCAGGGAGAGAACATCTACCCAGCCCCATCTGAGAGGACCACAACGAGACCAGAGGATCAGGAGAGAAACATCTACCCAGCCCCATCTGAGAGGACCACAACGAGACCAGATCAGGAGAGAACATCTACCCAGGTCCATCTGAGAGGACCACAACGAGACCAGAGGATCAGGAGAGAACATCTACCCAGGTCCATCTGAGAGGACCACAACGAGACCAGAGGATCAGGAGAAGAACATCTACCCAGCCCCATCTGAGAGGACCACAACGAGACCAGAGGATCAGGAGAGAACATCTACCCAGCCCCATCTGAGAGGACCACAACGAGACCAGAGGATCAGGAGAGAACATCTACCCAGCCCCATCTGAGAGGACCACAACGAGACCAGAGGATCAGGAGAGAGAACATCTACCCAGGCCCATCTGAGAGGACCACAACGAGACCAGAGGATCAGGAGAGAACATCTACCCAGGCCCATCTGAGAGGACCACAACGAGACCAGAGGATCAGGAGAGAACATCTACCCAGCCCCATCTGAGAGGACACAACGAGACCAGAGATCAGAGAGACATCTACCCAGAACCATCTGAGAGGACCAGAACGAGACCAGAGGATCAGGAGAGAACATCTACCCAGCCCCATCTGAGAGGACCACAACGAGACCAGAGGATCAGAGAACATCTACCCAGCCCCATCTGAGAGGACCACAACGAGACCAGAGGATCAGGAGAGAACATCTACCAGGTCCATCTGAGAGGACCACAACGAGACCAGAGGATCAGGAGAGAACATCTACCCAGGCCCATCTGAGAGGACCACAACGAGACCAGAGGATCAGGAGAGAACATCTACCCAGCCCCATCTGAGAGGACCACAACGAGACCAGAGGATCAGGAGAGAACATCTACCCAGCCCCATCTGAGAGGACCACAACGAGACCAGAGGATCAGGAGAGAACATCTACCCAGGTCCATCTGAGAGGACCACAACGAGACCAGAGGATCAGGAGAGAACATCTACCCAGCCCCAGCTGAGAGGACCACAACGAGACCAGAGGATCAGGAGAGAACATCTACCCAGCCCCATCTGAGAGGACCACAACGAGACCAGAGGATCAGGAGAGAACATCTACCCAGCCCCATCTGAGAGGACCACAACGAGACCAGAGGATCAGGGAGAGAACACATCTACCCAGGTCCATCTGAGACGACACAACGAGACCAAGGATCAGGAGATCGAGACACCACCCCAGCGGAGAGGACATCTACCCAGGACCAGAGGATCAGGACTGAGAACATCTACCCAGAGAGGACCACAACGAGACCAGAGGATCAGGAGAGGAACATCTACCCAGCCCCATCTGAGAGGACCACAACGAGACCAGAGGATCAGGAGAGAACATCTACCCAGCCCCATCTGAGAGGACCACAACGAGACCAGCCCATCGAGGACCAAGATCAGGAGAGAACATCTACCCAGGTCCATCTGAGACGACCACAACGAGACCAAAGGATCAGGATGAGAACATCTACCCAGGCCCAGCTGAGAGACCAACAACGAGACCAGAAGGATCAGGAGAGACCATCTACCCACCCATCTGAGAGGACCACAACGAGACCAGAGGATCAGGAGAGAACATCCTACCCAGGCCCATCTGAGAGGACCACAACGAGACCAGAGGAATCTGGAGAGAACATCTACCCAGGTCCATCTGAGAGGACCACAACGAGACCAGAGGAGGGAGAGAGATAACATCTTGAGAACCCAGGGTCCATCTGAGAGGACCACAACGAGACCAGAGGATCAGGAGAGAACATCTACCCAGGTCCATCTGAGAGGACCACAACGAGACCAGAGGATCAGGAGAGAACATCTACCCAGGCCCATCTGAGAGGACCACAACGAGACCAGAGGATCAGGAGAGAACATCTACCCAGGGCCCATCTGAGAGGACCACAACGAGACCAGAGGATCAGGATAGAGAACATCACCCAGGTCCATCTGAGAGACCACAACGAGACCAGAGGATCTCATCTACCCAGGTCCATCTGAGAGGACCACAACGAGACCAGAGGATCAGGAGAGAACATCTACCCAGGTCCATCTGAGAGGACCACAAACGAGACCAGAGGATCAGGAGAGAACATCTACCCAGGTCCATCTGAGAGGACCACAACGAGACCAGAGGATCAGGAGAGAACATCTACCCAGGTCCATCTGAGAGGACCACAACGAGACCAGAGGATCAGGAGAGAACATCTCCCCAGGCCCATCTGAGAGGACCACAACGAGACCAGAGGATCAGGAGAGAACATCTACCCAGGTCCATCTGAGAGGACCACAACGAGACCAGAGGATCAGGAGAGAACATCTACCCAGGTCCATCTGAGAGGACCACAACGAGACCAGAGGATCAGGAGAGAACATCTACCCAGGTCCATCTGAGACGACCACAACGAGACCAAGGATCAGGAGAGAACATCTACCCAGGCCCATCTGAGAGGACCACAACGAGACCAGAGGATCAGGAGAGAACATCTACCCAGGCCCATCTGAGAGGACCACAACGAGACCAGAGGATCAGGAGAGAACATCTACCCAGGTCCATCTGAGAGGACCACAACGAGACCAGAGGATCAGGAGAGAACATCTACCCAGGTCCATCTGAGAGGACCACAACGAGACCAGAGGATCAGGAGAGAACATCTACCCAGCCCCATCTGAGAGGACCACAACGAGACCAGAGGATCAGGAGAGAACATCTACCCAGCCCCATCTGAGAGGACCACAACGAGACCAGAGGATCAGGAGAGAACATCTACCCAGCCCCATCTGAGAGGACCACAAACGAGACCAAAGGATCAGGAGAGAACATCTACCCAGCCCCATCTGAGAGGACCACAACGAGACCAGAGGATCAGGAGAGAACATCTACCCAGGTCCATCTGAAAGGACCACAACGAGACCAGAGGATCAGGAGAGAACATCTACCCAGGTCCATCTGAGAGGACCACAACGAGACCAGAGGATCAGGAGAGAACATCTCCCCAGGCCCATCTGAGAGGACCACGACGAGACCAGAGGATCAGGAGAGAACATCTACCCAGGTCCATCTGAGAGGACCACAACGAGACCAGAGGATCAGGAGAGAACATCTCCCCAGGCCCATCTGAGAGGACCACAACGAGACCAGAGGATCAGGAGAGAACATCTACCCAGGTCCATCTGAGAGGACCACAACGAGACCAGAGGATCAGGAGAGAACATCTACCCAGCCCCATCTGAGAGGACCACAACGAGACCAGAGGATCAGGAGAGAACATCTACCCAGGCCCATCTGAGAGGACCACAACGAGACCAGAGGATCAGGAGAGAACATCTACCCAGGCCCATCTGAGAGGACCACAACGAGACCAGAGGATCAGGAGAGAACATCTACCCAGCTCCATCTGAGAGGACCACAACGAGACCAGAGGATCAGAGAACATCTACCCAGCCCCATCTGAGAGGACCACAACGAGACCAGAGGATCAGGAGAGAACATCTACCCAGGCCCATCTGAGAGGACCACAACGAGACCAGAGGATCAGGAGAGAACATCTACCCAGCCCCATCTGAGAGGACCACAATGAGACAGGAGGATCAGGAGAGAACATCTACCCAGGCCCATCTGAGAGGACCACAATGAGACAGGAGGATCAGGGGAGAACATCTACCCAGGTCCATCTGAGAGGACCACAATGAGACCAGAGGATCAGGGGAGAACAGGAGCTGTGAAGAGGGTGAGGACCACGAGGAGCCGTGAGGAGGCGGATGAATAGATTTCCAGAGTCAGTGATGATCTCTTACCTCATCTGCGATCATGCATCTGTAACAGACAGAAGACACCATAAGACACAGGAACATACCAGAGATTTATGGTCTCTCTCTCTCTGGTCCCTCTCTCTCTGGTCTCTCTCTGTGGTCTCTCTCTGTGGTCTCTCCCTCTGGTCTCTACCTCTGGTCTCTCCCTCTGGTCTCTACCTCTGGTCTCTACCTCTGGTCTCTACCTCTGGTCTCTACCTCTGGTCTCTCTCTCTGGTCTCTCTCTCTCTGGTCTCTACCTCTGGTCTCTCTCTCTCTGGTCTCTCTCTGGTCTCTCTCTCTCTGGTCTCTCTCTCTGGTCTCTCTCTCTCTTCTCTCTCTGGTCTCTCTCTCTCTTCTACCTCTGGTCTCTCCCTCTCTTCTACCTCTGGTCTCTCCCTCTCTGGTCTCTCTCTGGTCTCTCCCTCTGGTCTCTCTCTCTCTGGTCTCTCTCTCTGGTCTCTCTCTGGTCTCTCTCTCTCTGGTCTCTCTCTCTCTGGTCTCTCTCTGGTCTCTCTCTCTCTGGTCTCTCTCTGGTCTCTCTCTCTCTGGTCTCTCTCTCTGGTCTCTCTCTCTGGTCTCTCTCTCTCTCTGGTCTCTCTCTCTGGTCTCTCTCTCTCTGGTCTCTCTCTCTCTGGTCTCTCTCTCTCTGGTCTCTCTCTCTCTCTGCTCTCTCTCTGCTCTCTGGTCTCTCTCTCTCTCTCTGGTCTCTCTCTCTCTGGTCTCTCTCTCTCTGGTCTCTCTCTCTCTCTGGTCTCTCTCTCTCTGGTCTCTCTCTCTCTGGTCTCTCTTCTCTCTCTGGTCTCTCTCTCTCTGGTCTCTCTCTCTCTGGTCTCTCTTCTCTCTCTGGTCTCTCTCTCTCTGGTCTCTCTCTCTCTGGTCTCTCTCTCTCTGGTCTCTCTCTCTCTGGTCTCTCTTCTCTCTCTGGTCTCTCTCTGCTCTCTGGTCTCTCTCTCTCTCTCTGGTCTCTCTCTGGTCTCTCTCTGGTCTCTCTCTCTCTGGTCTCTCTCTCTCTGGTCTCTCTCTCTCTGGTCTCTCTCTCTCTGGTCTCTTCCTTGAAGTTTCTCTGAATCGCAGTAAAACTAATTTCCAACATAATCAGACCCAGTGTTTATTTTAAGACCATCGCTGCGGCACCAGATGGGACTGCACCAGATGGGACCGCACCAGATGGGACCGCACCAGATGGGACCGCACCAGATGGGACCGCACCAGATGGGACCGCACCAGATGGGACCGCACCAGATGGTCACACGTGATCTATGGTGGAATCTATTATATATAAGTGTAATGTGTGAATGTGTGTATGATTGTGTGTGTGAGTGTGTGTATGACTGTGTGTGTGAATGTGTGTGTGACTGTGTGTATGAATGTGTGTGTGTGTGTGTATGATTGTGTGTATGATTGTGTGTGTGAATGTGTGTATGAATGTGTGTGTGTGTATGGCTGTGTGTGTGTGTGTGTATGAATGTGTGTATGATTGTGTGTGTGATTGTGTGTGTGAATGTGTGTATGAATGTGTGTGTATGATTGTGTGTATGAATGTGTGTGTGAATGTGTGTGTGACTGTGTATGTGAATGTGTGTATGAATGTGTGTGTGTGAATGTGTGTATGAATGTGTGTGTGTGAATGTGTGTGTGTATGAGTGTGTGTGTGTGTGTGTGAATGTGTGTATGAATGTGTGTGTGTGTGTGTGTGTGTGTATGAATGTGTGTATGATTGTGTGTGTGATTGTGTATGTGAATGTGTGTATGAATGTGTGTGTGTGAATGTGTGTATGAATGTGTGTGTGTGAATGTGTGTGTGTATGAGTGTGTGTGTGTGTGTGTGAATGTGTGTATGAATGTGTGTGTGTGAATGTGTGTGTGTATGAATGTGTGTGTGTGTGTGTGAATGTGTGTATGACTGTGTGTGTGTGTGTGTGAATGTGTGTATGATTGTGTGTGTGATTGTGTGTGTGAATGTGTGTATGATTGTGTGTATGATTGTGTGTGTGATAGTGTGTATGAATGTGTGCGTGAATGTGTGTGTGAATGTGTGTATGAATGTGTGTGTATGATTGTGTGTATGTATGTGTGTGTGAATGTGTGTATGATTGTGTGTGTGTGTGTGAATGTGTGTATGATTGTGTGTATGTATGTGTGTATGATTGTGTGTATGATTGTGTGTGAATGTGTGTGTGAATGTGTGTATGATTGTGTGTATGATTGTGTGTATGAATGTGTGTATGAATGTGTGTATGATTGTGTGTATGATTGTGTGTGTGAATGTGTGTATGATTGTGTGTATGAATGTGTGTGTGTGTGTGTGTGAATGTGTGTATGATTGTGTGTGATTGTGTGTGTGAATGTGTGTATGATTGTGTGTGTGAATGTGCGTATGATTGTGTGTGTGAATGTATGTATGATTGTGTGTGTGAATGTGTGTGTGAATGTGTGTATGATTGTGTGTGTGATTGTGTGTATGATTGTGTGTATGATTGTGTGTGTATGATTGTGTGTATGAATGTGTGTGTGATTGTGTGTATGATTGTGTGTGTGATTGTGTGTATGATTGTGTGTATGATTGTGTGTATGAATGTGTGTATGAATGTGTGTGTGAATGTGTGTATGATTGTGTGTGTGATTGTGTGTATGAATGTGTGTATATGTATAAAGCTGTGATGGTTGTGTAGAGCAGTGTAACAGGTGTGTGTGTGATGGTTGTGTAGAGCAGTGTAAACGTGTGTGTGTGATTGTTGTGTTGTCTGAGGACTATCGATGCCTTGTAGCTTTGTGCTAATTTCAGCAGTTTGTGTTGACGCTGTTTGACGACACACTGATGAACATGTCCTACATTCAAAGACACACACACATAAGACAATCAAAATAAGTGTTTCAGGAGGTGTGTGTATACAGTACATGTGTGTGTGTCTCTGTGTGTGTACAGTACATGTGTGTGTCTCTCTGTGTGTGTATACAGTACAGTAGTGACACAGATCTCCTGCCTGACCTTCTCCATGGAAGTGTCCAGCATCATGTCAGAGCACACAGAGCACACAGAGCACACAGAGCAGCACAGAGCACACAGAGCACACAGAGCAGCACAGAGCAGCTGAGCCGCTGAGCAGCACAGAGCAGCTGAGCACACAGAGCAGCACAGAGCAGCTGAGCACACAGAGCAGCTGAGCACACAGAGCAGCACAGAGCAGCTGAGCACACAGAGCAGCTGAGCACACAGAGCAGCACAGAGCAGCTGAGCACACAGAGCAGCTGAGCCGCTGAGCAGCACAGAGCAGCTGAGCACACAGAGCAGCTGAGCCGCTGAGCAGCACAGAGCACACAGAGCAGCTGAGCAGCACAGAGCACACAGAGCAGCTGAGCACACAGAGCACACAGAGCAGCACAGAGCACACAGAGCAGCTGAGCAGCACAGAGCAGCTGAGCACACAGAGCACACAGAGCAGCTGAGCAGCACTGAATACCTTTGACACAGCTCTCATTATTCCTGCTCTCCCCCTCCCCAGACGCTTCCTCCGCCCCATTTCTCTCTTTCAGCAGAACATGATTAATGTGCACCTTGCCACTGGTGCTTTTTCTAATTGCCAACACACTGGCCCAGTCAGCGCAATGAGCACGCAGCCCGGCCGTGCCTCACCATGAACAAAGGCACGCAGGAGGGGGGAGGCGGGGGAGGAGGGGGGAGGCGGGGGAGGGAGGGGGGAGGGAGGGGAGGAGGGGGGAGGGAGGGGGGAGGGAGGGTGTGGGCAGGTGCTGCCATCTCTCCAACATTAATCATCCTCCTTTAAATAACCTGAGTGTCGTCCTGACGCCTGAGAGAGCGTCAGGCTCCGAGCTGTTGCCTGACGACGGCACGGTCTGTGTGTGTCTGTCTGTGTGTGTGTATGTCTGTGTGCGTCTCACACACAGACACACACACAGACACACACACAGACACACACACAGACACACACACACACAGTCACACACAGACACACACACAGTCACACACAGACACAGTCACTGACACACACACAGACCTAAAGTACAATAAAACGTACAGAGACTTTCTCTCGACTCCTACATTTCTGGGTTTTGTTGCAAGTTTATTTATATAGCACAGTTCATACCAAGGCAACGCAAAGTGCTGAACAAAACAAGAAAGCACTAAAATCATAAATAATCACAGAACATTAAAAAGATAAAAATATAAAATCCCTCAGTTGTAGCACAGCTAAACAGAACTGTCTTTAACCTGGTTTTAAACATTGTCAGAGAGGAGGCCTGTCTCACATCTTCAGGAAGACTGTTCCAGATTTTAGCAGCATGAATCTGAAAAGCAGCTTCCCCATGTTTAGTTCTGACTCTGGGCACTAACAGGAGTCCAGTCCCTGTGCTCCTCAGAGTCCCAGCAGGAGTCCAGTCCCTGTGCTCCTCAGAGTCCCAGCAGGAGTCCAGTCCCTGTGCTCCTCAGACTCCCAGCAGGAGTCCAGTCCCTGTGCTCCTCAGAGTCCCAGCAGGAGTCCAGTCCCTGTGCTCCTCAGAGTCCCAGCAGGAGTCCAGTCCCTGTGCTCCTCAGAGTCCCAGCAGGAGTCCAGTCCCTGTGCTCCTCAGAGTCCCAGCAGGAGTCCAGTCCCTGTGCTCCTCAGAGTCCCAGCAGGAGTCCAGTCCCTGTGCTCCTCAGAGTCCCAGCAGGAGTCCAGTCCCTGTGCTCCTCAGAGTCCCAGCAGGAGTCCAGTCACAAGCAGAGCTGTTTTAAAGTCTATTCTCTGAGCCACAGGAAGCCAGTGCAGAGACCTGAGGACTGGACTAATGTGGTCGTACTTCCTGGTTCTAGTCAGGACTAATGTGGTCGTACTTCCTGGTTCTAGTCAGGACTAATGTGGTCGTACTTCCTGGTTCTAGTCAGGACTAATGTGGTCGTACTTCCTGGTTCTTGTCAGGACTAATGTGGTCGTACTTCCTGGTTCTAGTCAGGACTAATGTGGTCGTACTTCCTGGTTCTAGTCAGGACTAATGTGGTCGTACTTCCTGGTTCTAGTCAGGACTAATGTGGTCGTACTTCCTGGTTCTAGTCAGGACTAATGTGGTCGTACTTCCTGGTTCTTGTCAGGACTAATGTGGTCGTACTTCCTGGTTCTAGTCAGGACTAATGTGGTCGTACTTCCTGGTTCTAGTCAGGACTAATGTGGTCGTACTTCCTGGTTCTAGTCAGGACTAATGTGGTCGTACTTCCTGGTTCTAGTCAGGACTAATATGGTCGTACTTCCTGGTTCTTGTCAGGACTAATGTGGTCGTACTTCCTGGTTCTAGTCAGGACTAATGTGGTCGTAACTTCTGGTTCTAGTCAGGACTAATGGTACTCAGTGTAATTGGTCGTACTTCTCTAGTGTTTTTTGAATGGTCTCAGCTGTTTTACAGCCTGTTTGTCAGGCCATTGCAGTAGTCTAACCTTGGAGACAAATGGTCCCAGTGTTTGGTCTCAGTGTTTTGGTCTCAGTGTTTTGGTCTCAGTGTGTCTCTGGTCTCAGTGTTTTGGTCTCAGTGTTTTGGTCTCAGTGTTTTGGTCCCAGTGTTTTGGTCTCAGTGTTTTGGTCTCAGTGTTCTGGTCTCAGTGTTTTGGGTCTCAGTGTTCTGGTCTCAGTGTTTTGGTCTCAGTCCTCTGGTCTCAGTGTTCTGGTCCCAGTGTTTTGGTCCCAGTGTTTTGGTCTCAGTGTTTTGGTCCCAGTCCTCTGGTCTCAGTGTTTTGGTCTCAGTGTTTTGGTCTCAGTGTTTTGGTCTCAGTGTTTTGGTCTCAGTGTTTTGGTCTCAGTGTTTTGGTCTCAGTGTTTTGGTCTCAGTGTTTTGGTCTCAGTGTTTTGGTCTCAGTGTTTTGGTCTCAGTGTTTTGGTCTCAGTGTTTTGGTCTCAGTGTTTTGGTCCCAGTGTTTTGGTCCCAGTCCTCTGGTCTCAGTGTTCTGGTCCCAGTCCTCTGGTCTCAGTGTTTTGGTCTCAGTGTTTTGGTCTCAGTGTTTTGGTCTCAGTGTTTTGGTCTCAGTGTTTTGGTCTCAGTGTTTTGGTCCCAGTGTTTTGGTCTCAGTGTTTTGGTCCCAGTCCTCTGGTCCCAGTCCTCTGGTCTCAGTGTTCTGGTCCCAGTGTTTTGGTCTCAGTGTTTTGGTCTCAGTGTTTTGGTCTCAGTGTTTTGGTCTCAGTGTTTTGGTCCCAGTGTTTTGGTCTCAGTGTTTTGGTCCCAGTGTTTTGGTCTCAGTGTTTTGGTCTCAGTGTTTTGGTCTCAGTGTTTTGGTCTCAGTGTTTTGGTCCCAGTCCTCTGGTCCCAGTGTTTTGGTCTCAGTGTTTTGGTCTCAGTGTTCTGGTCTCAGTGTTTTGGTCTCAGTGTTTTGGTCTCAGTCCTCTGGTCCCAGTGTTTTGGTCCCAGTCCTCTGGTCTCAGTGTTTTGGTCTCAGTGTTTTGGTCTCAGTGTTTTGGTCCCAGTGTTTTGGTCTCAGTGTTTTGGTCTCAGTGTTTTGGTCTCAGTGTTTTGGTCTCAGTGTTTTGGTCTCAGTGTTTTGGTCTCAGTGTTTTGGTCTCAGTGTTTTGGTCTCAGTGTTTTGGTCTCAGTGTTTTGGTCCCAGTCCTCTGGTCTCAGTCCTCTGGTCCCAGTGTTTTGGTCTCAGTGTTTTGGTCTCAGTGTTTTGGTCCCAGTGTTTTGGTCTCAGTCCTCTGGTCCCAGTGTTTTGGTCCCAGTCCTCTGGTCTCAGTGTTCTGGTCTCAGTGTTCTGGTCTCAGTGTTCTGGTCTCAGTGTTTTGGTCTCAGTCCTCTGGTCTCAGTGTTTTGGTCTCAGTGTTTTGGTCCCAGTCCTCTGGTCTCAGTGTTCTGGTCCCAGTGTTTTGGTCTCAGTGTTTTGGTCTCAGTGTTTTGGTCTCAGTGTTTTGGTCCCAGTCCTCTGGTCCCAGTCCTCTGGTCTCAGTGTTTTGGTCTCAGTGTTTTGGTCTCAGTGTTTTGGTCTCAGTGTTTTGGTCTCAGTGTTTTGGTCCCAGTGTTTTGGTCCCAGTGTTCTGGTCTCAGTGTTTTGGTCTCAGTGTTTTGGTCCCAGTGTTTTGGTCCCAGTCCTCTGGTCTCAGTGTTTTGGTCTCAGTGTTCTGGTCCCAGTCCTCTGGTCTCAGTGTTCTGGTCTCAGTGTTCTGGTCTCAGTGTTCTGGTCTCAGTGTTTTGGTCTCAGTGTTCTGGTCCCAGTGTTTTGGTCCCAGTCCTCTGGTCTCAGTGTTCTGGTCTCAGTGTTCTGGTCTCAGTGTTTTGGTCTCAGTGTTTTGGTCCCAGTGTTTTGGTCCCAGTGTTTTGGTCCCAGTGTTTTGGTCTCAGTGTTCTGGTCTCAGTGTTTTGGTCTCAGTCCTCTGGTCTCAGTGTTCTGGTCTCAGTGTTCTGGTCTCAGTGTTCTGGTCTCAGTGTTTTGGTCTCAGTGTTTTGGTCTCAGTGTTTTGGTCTCAGTGTTCTGGTCTCAGTGTTTTGGTCTCAGTGTTTTGGTCTCAGTGTTTTGGTCTCAGTGTTCTGGTCTCAGTGTTCTGGTCCCAGTGTTTTGGTCTCAGTGTTTTGGTCTCAGTGTTTTGGTCTCAGTGTTTTGGTCCCAGTCCTCTGGTCCCAGTCCTCTGGTCTCAGTGTTCTGGTCTCAGTGTTTTGGTCTCAGTGTTTTGGTCTCAGTGTTTTGGTCTCAGTGTTTTGGTCTCAGTGTTTTGGTCTCAGTGTTTTGGTCTCAGTGTTTTGGTCCCAGTCCTCTGGTCTCAGTGTTTTGGTCTCAGTGTTTTGGTCTCAGTGTTTTGGTCTCAGTGTTTTGGTCTCAGTGTTTTGGTCCCAGTCCTCTGGTCTCAGTGTTTTGGTCTCAGTGTTCTGGTCCCAGTCCTCTGGTCTCAGTGTTTTGGTCTCAGTGTTCTGGTCTCAGTGTTCTGGTCTCAGTGTTTTGGTCTCAGTGTTTTGGTCCCAGTGTTTTGGTCCCAGTGTTTTGGTCCCAGTCCTCTGGTCTCAGTGTTTTGGTCTCAGTGTTCTGGTCTCAGTGTTCTGGTCTCAGTGTTCTGGTCTCAGTGTTTTGGTCTCAGTGTTCTGGTCTCAGTGTTTTGGTCTCAGTGTTTTGGTCCCAGTGTTCTGGTCTCAGTGTTTTGGTCCCAGTGTTTTGGTCTCAGTGTTCTGGTCTCAGTGTTTTGGTCTCAGTGTTCTGGTCCCAGTGTTTTGGTCCCAGTGTTCTGGTCTCAGTGTTTTGGTCCCAGTGTTTTGGTCTCAGTGTTCTGGTCTCAGTGTTTTGGTCTCAGTGTTTTGGTCCCAGTGTTCTGGTCCCAGTCCTCTGGTCTCAGTGTTCTGGTCTCAGTGTTTTGGTCTCAGTGTTTTGGTCCCAGTGTTTTGGTCCCAGTGTTTTGGTCCCAGTGTTTTGGTCTCAGTGTTCTGGTCTCAGTGTTTTGGTCTCAGTCCTCTGGTCTCAGTGTTCTGGTCTCAGTGTTCTGGTCTCAGTGTTCTGGTCTCAGTGTTCTGGTCTCAGTGTTTTGGTCTCAGTGTTTTGGTCTCAGTGTTTTGGTCTCAGTGTTTTGGTCTCAGTGTTTTGGTCTCAGTGTTTTGGTCCCAGTGTTTTGGTCTCAGTGTTTTGGTCTCAGTGTTTTGGTCCCAGTGTTTTGGTCTCAGTGTTTTGGTCCCAGTGTTTTGGTCTCAGTGTTTTGGTCTCAGTGTTTTGGTCCCAGTGTTTTGGTCCCAGTCCTCTGGTCTCAGTGTTCTGGTCCCAGTGTTTTGGTCTCAGTGTTTTGGTCTCAGTGTTTTGGTCTCAGT